GTGGGGATCAGCCAGCAGGGAACGTAGTGCTTCTGCGAAGAGGCCATCGCCCCTAGCCGGAGAGACCGATAGGTCAAAGGCGAGACGGGCTAGCCCAGAGCCGATAGGTTCTACGCTGCAGGATGAGGAGATGTTTGATCCTGCTGATACACATATCCACTCCACACCCTGGTGGTTTCATTTTGACCCACACCCACATCTGCTTTGGGAGAGAGTTTCCCTCTTGACAGACATCCACGTGTCGATTTGCAACTGGCCCTCTATTCCCCTTTTGGTGACTTTTAAACATCACCTTTGGGGCTCTCTTGGTGAGGCGATGTTGAGGGGAATGCAGGGAGCCGTGCTTTCATCGGGACTTCCAGATCACATCATACATGTGGAGGTTCAAGGCACACGTGGAATCCAAACATGTCATTTTGGGTCGGGCAAATGCTGAGGTGGGGCACCCCCATGTTGGGCCGATCCGATTTGCCGACGGCCGATCTCAGGGTTCTTCGGCCGTCGCCGATCCGACGGCCGCCAGGTCTGGGCATCTTGCAGAAGGACAGCGTCGCGTGCGATCCGCCCGCAGGCGCCGCAGGTTGGTGACTCATGTCGCTTCCCTTCTATCCGCGGGGATGCAAGGCTTCCTGACGTTGTCCAGGAGGATAGGGCGGCAGTCGATCCGTTCAACGTGACGACCGAGGACCTGACAGCATCGATAAATGCGCTGACCAGGAAGTTGAGCGACATGCCCGAATGGTCGGGAAACCTGCTTGACCCCGTAAAGTCTGCTGAGCTGGTTGCGGCGAGGTGGGGTGCACAAGAAGCACTTGTGCGTCGGGAGGGGAGCGCCATCTTCGAGTCCGACCGCTCCGATCAATCCGTATGCCCCCAACCAGGTCGACGAGAGCAGAAAATTCCGCCCGAGCGAGCTGGCCAGGAAGGTGACGTACAACCTCGTGATCCTGGACGGAAAGAAGGATTATCTTGCCGATAGGCAGGAAATCAGGCAAGAAGTGAGGTCAGAACTTGCCAGGTCGTGGTTCCCACGAAGAGCAGGATGGGGGAGTACATTCCGGGCTATGCTGCGGCGGTGGCGGCCACGGCAGGAAGGGAGGCTGCACAGGCCCTGATGAAGCTGCTCACGTGTGATTTTGACGGCTTGGTCATCAACTCAAAGAAAATCTCGGAGTTATTCGAGGGGAAGGTGTTGAAGGAGACTGGGCGTGAAGCTGGAAATTGGGTCAATCCTGATCAGGCCGTGTGGTTCCTGAAGGAAGTCGTGGGGATGGAGAATGCTGAGATGGATTGGACATTCTTCAACCCGACCCTCAAGGCTCTCCCGGCCGGGCAGGTTGAAGTCATGCTGATGGCCATGTACAACGAAGCTGGCGTGTTCCTCAAGGACTACACCAGGTTGGTGGCCAGTAGGTTCACGAGGATCGGACAGGACATGAGTTATCAGGCTGTCCGACGTAGGTACACCGATGGGGATGCACCTGGAGGATCTCTCATGTACGAGATGCACTGGGACGAGCTTCCTATGGTGGGGTACGTCTTGATGAAGTTCCAGGACTTCAGGAAGGCGGTCCAACTCCAAAGGATGAGTCGGAATGGGAAGGCCATGATCGAGATATTGATCACAAGGCCGGACGAGTAAAACTCAATCGGTGATGGGAGAATGGACGAGGGCCTGGTTCCGATTGCGGAGCCCATGCGCCCTGATGCTGAAGTATCGCCTTCGTGGTACGTCAGGGACAGGCTGCGGAAGTACTCAGGTAGGTACGTGGTGGTTATGGTGGATCTTCGGGTGCATTGGTTGATCAGGCCCGTATATCTGACGAGGAGGAAGACTCTTGCCGTTAGGGACGAGATCCAGATGGGTGCGTGGAAGGCCGCGCACATGTTCGATGACTACACGATAGTGTATCATCGCGTTTGGGACTATGGTGACTTTACTCCCGGTAGGGGGAATCACAAGCGGACGCGTGAGGGTGTCAGACTGAACGTGACCAGTACCTTCTGTTTGAGGTGCGCGGAGATCACGCCATCTGGGATGCACTTGTGCCCCGGATGTGCGCTCCCGGTCTTCTACCCAGTGCGGACGAGGAAGACTTCGCGAGGAGCCAAATTGTCCCAGAGTGGGTGAGAAGTATGGGATGGTTCCATCCCAAGAGGATCGCTTCCAACGTGGTCGGGGTCATCAAGAGGAACTTGCTTTCCTTCTCGATGGGATCCGACTTGAGGTTGACGGTGCAGAGTGGCATCCGGTTGCCACCTACCTCGGGGAGGATAAGGGCGGCGTCGACGTGGCATGGGATGAAATGGCTAAGGTGCTATTCAGTGTTCCTACGTGTCGGGAGTCTCGGCATCGGACGCCTTCGAACAACCGGAGCCGCAAGTTGTGAACATCGACGAGCTTCAGTCGGTGCATCATGCTGCGCAGAGTCCTGGTCCAAAGCAGGAACCGGTCGTCAAGGGCGGAAAAGGAAAAGGGAAGAAAGGTGAAAAGGGTGGTAAGTGCGATAGTCCTTCCGACCCACGACCGAAGTCAGGTGAGGTATCAGGAAAGGGATCCGGCAAGGGCCATAGCCCCGCCGTTCCAAAGGCGAAGGCCAAGTTGATGCTGGACCGACCCCGTCGCGATAGCGGTCGAAGGAGCTCGGCCAAGTGCAAAAGCCGTTCCCGAAGACCAGTGAGGTTCCGGCCCCAAAAGCGGAGCCGAAGGTGAAGGAAGCTCCGTTCCGAAGGCTGGGAACGAGCAGGCTCCGAGGACTGTTGAGGTCAAGAAGGAAAAGGGGAGCGGTGACGATGCTCCCGGCGATAGCCGGGGCTCGGTTGAGAAACCCAAGAGAGAGAGAGAAAGTCCCGCTGGGATCCGGATGTGCCTACGAAGGAGTCGACGAAGCGGGAGGCATCGAAGAGGCCTGATGATGTAGACAGCAGGCCAGGTGCAGCGGCGCGAAAAGCAAGTGGGGATGATCTCCACTCCGCACTTGGTAGGTCTTCGGCAAAGGACGCGGTAGCGCCCTTGACAGCCTCCAAGGCGATGGCGAAAAGGCCTGAAGGGAGTGAAGTCAGGCTGCACTCAGCGAGCTGCTGCGAGCGGAGGGCCCGATGGTGGATGCGTTCCTGGCGATGTCCTCCAACAGGGTGCTCAACCGCTCGGCGCCGGAAAGATCGTGGCGAACTCCCATGCGGATGTCTCTCGCTCGCCTTCCCGGAGGTCCGTTAGGACTCAGGACGCCAGGGATTCTCGAGAGTCGAGGAGGCGCAGGTATCGACCGCAAAGAGACGAAGATCGAGACCGAAGGGGAGATGATTGTCGGGATCATCGCGGTGATGAATCCCTTGATCGAGATCGGGATCGAAGGAGAGACGATCGCAGGAGATCCCAGAGGGATCGTGATAGGGACCGTGCGCGGGGCGGACGTGACCGGAGGAGACGTGATGATAGCCGATAGGCTGATTCACGAGGGTTGCGGCCGATAGGCTTGCGCCGGTTCTCCGATGGTTGGCGAGATGGTCATGATCCTTCCGAACCGCTGAGGCGCGGAGTTCATGTCTCTCCTGCACCGCTGCTCGGCTGCTGGTCGTGGACACCATGAAGTAGTGTGAGTGAGAGGAGATGCAAACTGGTGGAGGATACTCCCAGGTTTGCGGAATTTGTGTGTTTTCAAGTACGCATGGTCAGGGGTACTTCTTGCCGATAGGCGAGGGTACTAATGGACATACGTTATCCTTTGTTTCATGGCTTCTGATAAGAATTGAACTACTTGCATTGCTAATGCAGACAGTTGTGGCCTAGTGTCGTCAATGGACTCTTCCACGGGGTATGTTGCACAGCGTTACCCCGATTAATTCGGGGTGGTGGCGGGAATTTAATGCCCGGGATGTCGCGCGACTGGCTTTGTGGGTTTGCTGCACCGCTGACGGTGGTAGTGTCCAGCTGTTTGCGGACGCATGCGAGCAGTTAAATCCTATCAGTAAATGGCACGCTCCACCCGTCATATGACGGGCTCCTCGTGAGTGGGGTGTGATTAGCCATGGTTTAACCCATCACCAGGGATGTCGCGATAGTGACTGACCGGTGGTGTTTGGCTCAAGTTGACGGGTTCCGTGGATGGGCGTCGCCGAACCCCTGCGTCGACCGACGACATCTCGGGGGAGAAAGAGACCTCGGGCCGCCGTCAGGTTGGTAGGGACTACTCGTGCGGCCTGTCGTCGATCAAGGTTGCGGGTTAACATTTTTCCCTTTTGGTTGTTGTTGTTCTCTGGTGTGTGGGAAACCCTGATCTTTGGGACCGGGACTGGCTTGCTTTTGGGGAACCTTTCTTTTGTGGCTTGTTTACCCCAACTTACCCACTGCCTGGGCACAGGCTCCTGCCCGAATCACAGTTTGTTCTGTTCTTTTGTTTCGTTTTGCTTTAGCCGCGCTTTGTTTCCATTTCTTTGCTTTTTTCTAACTTTGGTATTTCCGGAGTCGATGTTGCCAGTCATTCAGTCATGTCGCCTCAGCGACATCCAATTGCATAAGGCCAACAGGGACGTCCCCAATGATCCGCGCTCGCGCCCATGGAGGTTTCGTTGGACTGTGGATTTGTTTGCTTGGTTTGATTGATTGCTCGGTTGCTTGGTTGCTTGGTTGCTTGATTGCTTGATTGATTAATTGATTGGTTGCTTGCTTGCTTGCTTGGTTGCTTGATAGCTTGATTGCTTGACTGCTTCACCGCTTGTTTGCTTGATTGGTTGGAATGGATTGGATTGGGTTTGAGTTGATTGGATTGCTTGCTTGGTTGCTTGCGTGCTTGATGGATCGATCGATCGATCCACTTGCTTGTTTTGTTTGTGTGTTTTGTTTTCGTTTTTGTTTGTTGATGATTTTTGTTGTGCCCTTCGCCCCTCCTCAACCACCAAAACACCAACTAAGAGGACACTGATTCTTTGTTTTTTTGGTGCGATTTCTCTTCCAAGCCGCGTGCCTGGCAACCCAAAAGCGACACCGGGCCCGGCGCCAGGCGTGCATGGCACAGGCTGCGGCGGTGCGCGCCAAGCTGCGGGGCGTCATCGGGTGGGCCTTCCCCAGAGTGGCGTGAGGTCGAAGCAATGCCGGGTACATTTGATCCAAACCTCATGGGGAATGCGTCCAACCTTTGTGCTATGGGTACAGTGCCAGGGTTGTTGAGGCTCCAAGGGCGAAGCCTTTTCTTGGGTTGCAGGATTAGGCCAATAAGGCTCAACTTGGCCAAGTCTCGGTTTTGAGTTGGAAAGCCCTTCTGTGATACCAAACCGCGTACCCCGTGCGCTCGTTTGGTGGAAGGAAATCCACGCCTGCAAGGGGGAAATCCTGCCCTTGGGAACACCGGTCAGTTGTAACCTGGAGTTCAAGCCACCATTAAAACAAGCGGGGTTCATATAACCACCATTGTTTGCCTGGAAGATTGCCATCCAAATTGGGTCCCCTTGGGCCATTATTTTATTGGGGGTTAAATGAACCCTAGAGTGAGAGGAACATCGCACGGTTCCTCTGCCAAAGGACAGGGCCCTGTGGGCTCCGCTTGTGTTTTTTGGATGTAGTGGTACTTGTTTGAAAGGTGTTAAAGGAAAAACGAAAAGGACGCCAACCGTCTCGGTCCTTTTGGGGGTTCAGATTCCTAGCTGGAGACAACCCCTGCATGCATGGAACACCAGTCCAGGGTCCAGACTCCTTTGATCAAGGACGCAGGGTTAGGGAACGAACTCGCCCATGACATTTAGGTGTGTCTGTTTTTAGGGTTCCCCCCAACAAAAAAGAGGTGTCCTTTCTGTGTGCCTTGAAAACCCACAAAAACGGGGTAGCCTCACAAAAAAGAGGCACCCGTTTCCTTACACTTAGGAGTTCCTTGTTTCCAGTTGCGAATCTGTTCCTTATCGCCGGAGGGACGACCTGCCATTGATTTGCGGCACTGTGTCCAAGGGACTCCTCCAAATGGCAACGGCTTCACGTTGGAGTTGTTGGATAAGAGGATCCCTCTCCGCGTATACGAAACATCTGAAAACAAGAACCCCAGCCCAGCCTTTGTGTTTGGACGTGAAGGGAAGCACATGGACACCATTCGGGGCGCCCTAAATTTGGCAACACCTCCGCACAAGACCCTCTCTTTCCCCACCTGCCCTGGTGCGAAGTCGTAACTTTTGTGTGTTGCAGATTTACCAGGAGACCACAAGGGGCAGCCGTTTGTTGATTTGTCCAAAATCGTATGGTGATGGGCAACTCTTTGCAAATTTCTAGTTGGGTGTGTCCTTTTTGGAGGGGTACCCCTTTGTTAGGGAAACCACAAGGAAAACCACCGTTTTGGAGGGCGCGGTTCCGTTGATTTCAGTGGGGCCATCTTTGGCAAGGCTTTCCGCCTGGACGGATTTGACGGCATCCACGCCGAGCTACGACAGCCGCCAGTGGAGCGCTGAGAAGTGTTCAGGTGCCGTGCTCAGAGAGGTGTGACAGTTGGGGTTCCTATAGTCAGCACCTCTAATAATTTCCAGCATAGTCAAACATCACTTCCATTGACTGAAATGAATATGTTTATTTTCCCCTGTTGGTTGTAAAGGGAGTCGGTTTGATTACTGGATATCGTTGTTTGTTTCAGGAGACTTAAGCATTTGGCAAGCATCATCGTGTGGATGGAAATTCGTTGAGCATTCGTGTTTACCACTTGGATGACTTTGGCAGAATGATGGGTGTGTTTGCAGGGGCTTGACTCATAGTTTCGTGCAAGTTCAGAAGGCTTCCCTTAAATTGGTTTTCGCCCACAAATAACATCATGTCACATTTTAAGGTGAACCAGACTGCAACTTAAACCTGCCATTTTGAGTTAGCAAGAGCTGCAGACAAAACTTAAATGGGCCGAGTCAGGTCGGCTGGTGCGATGTCACCTGCACAGGGGGCGGCGCACGTCCTGTTTGGTTAGGCGGTCCTTCGCGTTCAATCCAAGATTAAGACAAAGGGGTTAATATGACCGCCATTTGCCGTTCAGGAGGTTCATTCTCCAATCTGAGACCCCCTTTTGACCAGGGTTGAAGGAACCCTAGGGTGTCTCATTAAGCCCTTTGAAGCCATCCATTTGGTTATGTGTTTTTCTCCCTTGATTTTGAAAGAAAACGATTTCACTACTGGAATGGTGTCTCATTTGTTCCAACGTATCCGCAAAAGGAAGAAACCATCCTTTTGAATGCGCCCGTATAGAAGTCCTTTCGGTACCTCGATGGTTCTTTTGAGGTGACGCCGTAAATGCTGGCGTGGACCGACAGAGCGGAAGAGAAGAGGCGGAGGCATACTTGGGCCGCGGCGCCGGCGTGCTTCTGACGATTAGATCCAACCCACCGTAACTGGGTGGCTCCCAGCGAATCGTCCGGCTCAACTTAGCGGATCGTTTTTGATGGTTTGCTCACTTCCTGAGTTGATGGACTTTAAACTTTCTGGAAAGACCATTTTAGTGGTAAATAAAAAGTTCGGACTTTCTTGGCCAGGCAAAGTTTGGTGGTTGGGTGTCCGGAATTTCACCCACAAGTTCTTCACCTTTCGCAGATCAAGTTGGACAGCCCAGTCCCAAAGTCCCCAAGCTCTTCGCGAGGCGCGCTCCCGGATTCCGGTCACCCATCATTTCGTTAGAAGCATGTTTCTAAGACAGGCTCTTGGGATACATGTTCCTTCCATTTGCCAAAAATGAGTATATTGAAACGTTCCCCTGATGGCTTTAAAGGGAATCTACTTCACCACTGGACATATGTTCTCTGATCTTTCCGTGGGAATGGAGGTGCAAATTCTCCTCCTCGCCAGGTGGAGGTGTGCAAAAGCACGGTGCGGAGACCCAGACAGATAGCGACATAACGTCGACCCCGTATTATGAGTCCTACCCCAGTTTAACAGGACGGTAGGGTACTCAAATTGGCCCAGAAGGTGATGCTCAACTCACCGCAAATAGAAAAGTGATGACCCCCTATGAATCAATTAACCGACCTGCTTATTAACAGGGGGGTGGTTTTGGCTCTTCAAAAGTGGTCTGTTTCCCCACATTTCACCCAGGGAGCAGTAAGCTGGGGTTGATGAATATTTGGCCAACGGGAGAGGCGTGGTGCTGGTTCGCGTGCCTTTTTCTGTGTCCCCGTTCGGGTGTGTCTTAATTTAGTGGACACCCCCCCCAAAAAAATTGAAGGCGGTTTTCCCTCGAAAGCAACCCCAAAAAGGGTACCTGCAAAAAGGGCAGACCCTGGTGCTGGTAGGGAAAAAAAAACTGCCACGTGGGTTCCCTTTCCATGAAGAAGCCAGTGTTGAATGTTTCGTGCGGTTTGGCTCACACAACCGCTGATGTTGAATTCAAAGTCTAAATCTCTGTCTATCTCCGGGGTGGTGATTTCTCCTCTTTTGTTCGTTCTTACCGGCCTTCTTTCAGGGTTTCCGAGCCACTTCCTCTTTTTTTGGAAAAGTGGCGATCGTTTTTAATGGACACAAGTGATCAACTTATAAGGGGAAATCCGAATGCAACCCCTGTCTTTTGGCCACTGCAACACCCAAAAAAGAGGCAAGCGCCCGCGGCGCGTCTTCTGGAACGCCGCGCTCGATCCCGGCGCGGATGTTTCGAGGCAAGGACTGGCGCGCCAGCCCCTTCTTCGCTCCTTTTGAGCGGCTCCGGAAGCTGCCACCAGTGCTGCTGCAGGCAGCGGAAGTGGGTGCAAGGAGCACAGCTAGGTCCCCCAGCTAGGTGCCCGTTTACCAATTCTTTTTTTGGGGGAGGGGTCCCCTACGAAGATAGAAAACAGGAAACAAATCGGGCACCCTTCTTCTAACCTTTCTACAGGACCTAAGGCAGGTGGAACCCCAGGGAAAGCTGGTGGCCAAAGGAATTCCAGTGTTAGTGTTCAGACGGGAGGAAGCTGGCCTAGGCCTTTGGGTGTAAAGCGTAAAGCTGCCAAGATGTGGATTTTGGGCAAAATGTGAGGTGGAGTGTCGATTTCCCCGGCGAGGCAGGGGAGGGAGCCCAAACAAGCCCCTTAAGAGCTTCTTTGGGCTCCCTCTCCCTCCCTCCACCTTCCAGGCATTAAGTGCTTATTTGGGCTGCCTGCCTTTTCCCTGCAGCCCCTTTGAAAGGCGGAGTTTCCCACGACTTCCCAAGCTTTCGACCCATCCGTTGCACGATGGGCCCTTCCGATCTCGCGCATCTCGCGGAGGTGGGCGACTTCGAGCTGATTCTGGATGAGTCGGTCTTCGGCTCAGCCCTTCTGAACTTGGCATAGACACCCTTCAAGGGGCATCTTACCTTGGTGATGGTTGGCATGGAACCCGAAGGGGGTGTTCCCAAAAGGAGGTCACTCCGAAGATGGGGTGGATGTCATGTGAACCCACGGAGGAGTAATTTGTGGCTTTGGCAACCGTTCTCTTTGTGTGATACCAAGACCGAGAAGTAACAAAGTGCCCACACAAATCGCAGAAAGCAGCCTTAGATTCAAATGTGTCGGTCTTGTTTTGGGACCCCCCCCAACAAAAAGAAACAGAACGAAGGTGGTGTTCCTTTTTGGGTTCCCTTAAATTCCACTAAACAACGGGGTACACCGAATGGGTCTCGCTTTTCAGACAGGCGTGGTTACGCTAGGTGCTGCTGCACAAGCGGTTGCAGAAAGCGGGCCAGCAGCCTGGGGGATTCCGTTGGACTCGCTGGCGTTTTGGTTTTCTGAACTTGAGGAGTCCCCAAAAGGTCCACGGTGGGAGGGAGTTCCTAGGTCCAAGGGTGCAAGGGGGGGGGGGGCTCCCCAGGAACACGAAGGAACCCTGCAAAAGCCTAAGGAACGTTGGGCTCGCGACTGCCCACCCCCTCTTGCACCTGAGCCCAGTAGGGATTCCATAGTAAATGAATGGCTTCCGCAGGGTGTCCTAGCCACTTCCCTTTTTGGAACCTCAAGTGGCGATGGTTTCAACGGAAACCGCCGGTACATGAATCAACTTTTGAAGGGAAATCCAGTGACCTGTTCCGTTGCGCAATTGAAGAACTCCATTCTCTTCTTTTTCTTTTCAGCGGAGGGGACACCAGCGTCTTGAGAGAGCGCTTCTAAAAGGCTCCAGGGCTGTTTGGCCTAGATTCCAAAAACACAACTCCAAAACTCTGAAAGCGGCGGGGGGCATCTTTGAGACCTGTTGGAAGTCCAGGGTTAATGGACTTGAGACGCCTAGGGATTGTCGGAAATCACAAGAGTGAAGCCTCGCGTGTACGGGGATCATGGATCCCCCTTACAGGCTGAAGGCAACTTTCGCGAAATTGATCTTGGTTTCGTTCGAAGAACGGGGTTCCAAACTTGGTTGAGGAGAGCCAGTACATTGGGCGCCACTTTTTGTGTTGGGCTAAGGGGGAGAGGCTAGGGTCTGAGGACGTTGTGTTCGGTTTTTTGCGTGCAATCCACGGAGAGTGATTGTCTGAGTCACCCCTATGGTGGTTTGGTTTTGTGGCGCACCTTTCCACTTGGTTTCACAACTTGCTGGGGCTCAGCAGGGAATGAGGGAATGAGCCTGGCGATTCCCTTACAGGAAACCGGGGATGGTTTTTGTCGGCGTCATTCCATTTCTCATTCCCTGCCTATCGCACCGCACCCCGCGCCGACAACTTTGTTTCAGCACTTGGGGCTCAGTCGAAACCAGCGCTCGCTCGAGTCGAGGCCATCCGGATGCTCAAGTTGCAGTGTACCCGCGCATGTGCGCCCGAGACAGGAAGCCGGGTGAACATATTTGATCGCAAGGCGAGACCCTCTTTCAAAGAGCAGGACTCAGTTGGAACAGATTCTTCATACACCATTGTTTCAGGGGCACAGAACTGTTTGGTTTCTTTTCGGATTTGGAGTTCTTTCCCTAGAGCGACATGGTTCTCCGCTTTGAACATCTATAAGCGCTGGAGGGGACCATTTGTGGGCGGCTTCGGGTGACCAGGACTTGATCCCTCAACCGGGCGAATCTAAACAACCGGAAGCAGAATAGCGGCTTACCGTTGCGCAATTTGGGGTGTCCAAATGAGGAGTTGGATTCGTTTCTGGATTGCTCAAATGGAAAGCAACCAAAGAAGCCAAGCATTTTTCAGCGCGCGCCCATTTGGCCTCTGGCCGGCCAACTTCCAAAGTGGTTGGCGGGTTGCAGACATCTCACCAGTGGTACATATTTCTGACGTTCACCACAGGGTTCAACCACTTCTAGGTCCCCCACTAGTGCGCTTTCTCACCAACTTTTTCGGTTGGGAGGGTTCCCCTACAAAAATGGACTACAGAAAAACAGCGGGCACCCTAATTCTAACCTCTCTACTGGAGGACCTAGCTAGTTGTTCAAGCTTGATTCTTTTGATGCTTCCAGGTTTTTACGGGCTCCTGTTTGGACCAATGCCTCGTGTTTAGGGTCCAACCACCTAAGGCTCGTTCCCCCCCCCCCCATGGGGTTTGTCACCCCACGGCAGCCGGCAGGTGGCATTGCTGGCACCAGTACGAGGAAGGCAGCGGTGCGCTCCTAGCTGGCGCTCGCGCGTGCGCGTGGCGGTCTCGCTCTCTCTCTCTCTCTCTCTCTATCTCTCTCTCTCTCTCTCTCTCTCTCTCTCTCTCTCTTTCTATCTCTTTCTCACTTTCTGTTCTGGGGAAGTGCTCTGAAATGACAGGTTTGGTGTGTTTTGTTTCAAGTTACCCATGACATCAAGCTCAACGGTACCCTCGCAAGTGACATGCTAAGTTTATTTGTTAGATCTCTTGAAAGGGCGGGAATTCCCAGCCCCCCGTGTTGTTCTCCACTCCAAAGTGCCCAAGGCAGATGTGAATGACTCAACGGGGTTGAAGGCCACTCATCCCTTCTCGCTCGCTGGTCCCCTTGGGCTGGAGGATGGCCAAGGATGGCCACCGGTTCCCACGGAGAAGCAAGCAGAGAAACTCATAGCACCCAAAAAAGCGGTGGCGGATGTCACCAGGCCCCTGAAAAGGGACCGGGTCCAGTTGTCATAAACGCGGAGGGGGGGGGGGGGACAAGAAACAAAATCGCGAGAGTATGCGAGAGTTGAGGCCTTTCCAACCCTTGCTGGTGCTCAGTAGGGAATGAGGGAATGAACCGCAAGGGGCATTCCCGAAGAAAGGAAACCAAGTCGGGGATCTCAACGCGCAGCTGTCGCGAGGCTTCGGACCTAATGAGGCGGTCGAGGTCGGGTGAAAACCCCCAAAGTTGTGAAGGCCCTCCGTGGGAGACCAATTCCTAAATATTCTCAGACAAGGGGTTATCAACCAGAGGTTTACTGGTCTCATTCGGTTCCTAGCAAAACGTTCTCTGGCATCCGTAGTCCGTGCGCTGCAAAAAACGGGCGGGGGGAGGTTGACACGAGACAGGTATGGACCAAAGCCTGTGGCAAGCCAAGAAGGCGTTGCAGGACCTCGCTGCTTGGGCCGGGAGCCGAGCTGAGCAACCCGTCAGGTTGCTTTGGAGAAGAATCGGTGCTTTGGAGTTGGATTTGAACAGGTTACTGGCTTTTGTAGAGGGTAAATGGGGTTACCACACCCGCCAATCAGAGGGAAGCCGAATATTGTTCAATTCAGCTCCCCGTCTTGCCTCCCTCCTTTCCCTTGCCGTCTCCTCTTGCCCTTTCTCCTCTTGCCTTCTCTCTCCTTTTGCCTCTTGCCTCCTCGTCCCTTCTATTCCGTCTCCCGCTCACCGCGTTCGCTCTCAGCGTGAGTCGATTCCCATCTGAGGCTACCCGAACCTCGCTGCATTTTGTGGAAAAAGTGGGCGGTTTGTCTTTGGGGCGGTTCCCATTTGCTTGGTTCTAAAGGGAATCCGAAAGGAACCTGCCATTTCTTGAGGTCCACCGATTTTTGGTGGACAAGCTCAAGTGCACCTGTGCGCCCCTGAAAAAAAAAAGCAACATCCAACACAGGAAGCGTTTCTGGATGGATTGGGATTGGGGCATTCCGAATGGAACCATGTCCTTCAGGTTCCCTTGGAATGCGAACTCCCAATGATTGAAGACTTCCCAAGTTGATGGGTTCCGTGTTGGGCGCCTTCAAGATGAACCAAATCCGCGAATCCGGATCCCTGGCTTCCCGATCTTGGCACCCCAAGAAACCGCCTGATGGCAGAGCATATACTCATGCCAAACAAGAAAGAGACAAAGAGACACGTTGAAGATCGTCCCTGTTTTTGGGAAGCACCCTTTCTCACTCCCTCAGTTCCTGGACTTTATATTTTTTGGGGAAGACCGTTTCAGTGGCGAATAGCATGTTCACACATGTTTTGGCCAAACCCAGGAAGCACCCCGTTTGGTTTTTGCCCCTTGCCAAGCTTACCATTGTGCTGTGAGGTGAGAGCACGCTGAGAGTGAGCCAAAAGCTTCGGTGTCTTTCTCCCGTGGCCACTGGGCAAGTAGCAGCTAGCTGGTGAATGCCAATGCGAGCTTGCAAAAAAAGGGACTGCAGCTCTGCTCTTGAGGTCGACGAATTGCCGCGCATAGCGAACTTTGGCCATACACTGGGCCAATTCCGTCACGTGGCCCCTCTGAAAAGGAAGCCGGCTTCACGGCTTGCCCGCGAAGCGCGGGCAACCAGCGCTCCGATCGGGAGGAATGGTCCGCTCCGATTTGTTTTTATTCCTCGCTCTGCAACCGGTGGGATGCGATGCAGCACCTCCGTTGGGGTGTATTCTGTGTGGTAGCATCAGCATTTCGACTGCGTTTGACCTCGCATAGATCACACCCGCGTTCTTTTCGCGTTTGATCCCGCCAACTTACCTCAAGCCGCAGACCAGCGCTTTGTTGCCCCGCGAACGCAACCCGGAAGATCCCCAACGAGCTGGTCGTAGACGTCGTTCCGCATGCCGGCGCCTGGCCAGGGCTTGGCCATCGGCCCCAAAGGAAAGGGAAACCAAAAACCAACTAGGCCCAGCGATCGGTGCCCGACCTCTCACCCCTTTTTCGGTTGGGAGATTCGGTTCCCCTACTAAGGCCCTACTAAAATAGACTACAGAAGAAAGGTACCCTTATTCTAAGCTCTCTACTGGAGGACCTAGCCAAAGGGCTGTCGACGTACAATGCAAACGGACCTTGTTTGCGCCACGAAGGCTGGTCGATTGACTGACTGCAAGCAATGCATTCACACGGATGGATGCCAAAACCCCAAAGCGACGTGATAGAACCTTCCCCAAGATACACAGGCCGCTGAGCAACGTAGCGGTTTCTTCCATTTGCTGGATATGTACAATTTGCTCATGTGTGGTGTCTTGGTTTGGTGTTCTCAGG